TTAGAGAACAAGTTTAAACGTAGAAAGTCACCAAAGCGGATAAAGGATAGAAGTCATTATCATATTTTCATATTAAAAATCTCTGGGGAGGTGTTTCTCCCTTCCCAAACCAAACATTTCCATATAAGTGATTAATATCTGAATTAATATAAATATGTATGCGCAAATGGTTTCTTACCTATTTACTGTATTAAATGACCTAGAAAGATTTCCTCATTCTCATAATGAGTACTGGGTATCTATATGAAGTCTTGTGTTTAAGTGAAAAGTAAGTGAATACACATCTTTGAAGCAAACTGTTCTGTACCGTTTTAGGCCAAAGACTTTCATTCCTAAGCACAGGTAAATAACGTCTTACATTAAACACTTCCCAGTAATAAAAGCTCTTCTTAAGAAAGAAATCAGAGAGTTCAAAGTGCTTGTGAATCATTTTGAATACAGGCACTTTGTGCACGGGAGTGATGCAACTCTAGGCTGGAATTTCCTTCTTGCAGGTGGCATGAGTAAGGAGGGCTCAGCTTACACCTCTGCTCCTCGCTCTTCTTCAGTCAGGGATGCACGCTATGAGCAGGTTATTTTAAAACAAAAAAGTGTTCTTCCTTCCCCTTATATCCTCCCATCCTTTACTCATATCACAAACTCTGTTTTCTCTGCATCAAAACAGGCAAGAGCAAGGTGTGGGAACATCTTTGGTCAAAAATTGGTTCCTGCCATTTCTAGCGCATGATTTATGATCCAAGCAGGGAAAATAAAATAAAATAAAATAAAATAAAATAAAATAAAATAAAATAAAATAAAATAAAATAAAATAAAATAAAACAAAACAAAACAAAACAAAACAAAACACAAATTCCTGAGAAGTTAGATGTGTCTATGAAGAGATCTCCTTCATTTCATAGCACCTTCATATGAGAAGAAGATAACAAGACACAAGTAAAAATGATTTTAAAAATGTTTTTTTTTTCACCCCCAAGGTTACCCCTTTGTGTTGAAGATAACTTGCTGTGAAATAAAACAAATATTTATTTCATCCCCAAAAGTTCCACAGGAACTTACATAAAAATTTCTTGACAGTGAGGGTGATAGAGCACTGGAACAGACTGCCCAGAGAGGTTGTGGAGTCTCCTTCTCTGGAGATCTTCAAAACCCGCTTGGATGCAGTCCTGTGCCACGTGCTCTAGATGACCCTGCGTGTGCAGGGGGGTTGGACTAGATGACCTCTAGAGGTCCCTTCCAGCCTTAAGCGTTCTATGATTCTACGATTCTAAGCTTGCAGAGAACAAAAAGATATTTTACAAAGCCCTTCATGTCACCTCTATCAAATGTTTGGCCTTTTTCAGACTGCCCTTGATAATCCTGCTATCTACTGGAAGAGTTACTTCACAGAAAATTTTCTCATTGGACTCTGATCTGGGTGCTGCTGAGCAGGAAAACAACAACAACAACAACAACAAAGCAGAGCACGGAAAAAATAAAATCCCGGGGCTGTCAGCGCCACGTTTTCCCACGTCTGGAAGGCGAGGCTCAGCGCTGCCACCTCGCGTCCCGTCCCTCTCCTCCGGGCTGGAAAAAAAAGGCCTGCAAGAAATAGGATGAAGTTTCTATTTTTTTTTTATTATTTTTTATTTTTTCACTTGTAACACACAGAGGTCCCTTGCCAAGGCTCCTGAAAGTGCCTTTCTCATGTAAGCTGAATGCTCACACTTTACACCCATGCTTAAATTTGGGGAGATTTAATGCACTTTCAGTCTCACTTGGGAGGATTAGGGGGTGGAGGCAATTAATGTCAGAGGAACAGCCAAGAAATTGTAATAAAAGGCTTTTACAGAGTTTCACATCGTATTCTTACATTTGCGTTATTAAACAGTCTTAAGTGGTGCTTTGGTAAATTTTGCAGTTTTCGATTTGGGAAATAATATTCCTCTATCCATGCCATGTACACACGTTTTGAACCAAGATTAAATGACGTGACTGCTTTCATTACAGTAAAAATGAACTCACATTGAGGTAACTTTTATTCTAGGTGGTCAAGACATTGCACATTGTAACATGAGTGAGTGAAAAAAAAAAACTCTCAGCAGTGTTTTCTATGTCTCTACATATCGGTTTATTGGTTTTGTTTCTATCTGTTGCTTTGGTTTGTATTTGTTTTGCTTTAACCTGTCTTTGGAAACATTAGAATATTTTACTCGCTTTGCAGTTTAATCAAATTCATACCCATATGTAAAATATGCTAGCTGGTCACTGGGATCCTTTCAGACACCCTTGCTAAAAGGCAGAGCGGCACCGCTTGCTACTGGCTGCTTTTGGTCACAGTCTCTGAGAACGGTACACGTAAGTGCCAAGAGTGTAAATAAAACCAGTAGTACTTATGGTTCCAAAAACACTTATTTCTTGATTTCTGTGGAAGTGGATGGTATACAAGGCCACAGATGTGACATTACCTTCGGGAGAGAATGCTTAGAAAAGCTGAAACAGAAAAGGCCCTGTACTAATTTTGCAAGCTAAACGATAATTCGGGTCATATCTGCAAATGCTCCGGGTAAGGCGAGTTTCCTAGGAAGGGAGATGTTAAGACCTGAGGATTTTTCTCGGTGCTTCGTAAGAGCTGAGCATAGCTCAGTGCGGGACGGGACCTTATCACTGAAAGCTGGTTCTCAAGGTGCTCAGACTTGTCGCTGCGGGATCCTCATGCAGACTTTTCCCACAAAACCCGCAACTCGCTGTTAGGCTGCTGTTAGGCTCAGAAATTTCAGGTGTTGCCGACCAGAACAGGCTGGGGAAAAAAAAAAAAAGAAAAAAAAAGAAAAAAAAAACAGCATTTTCAACTGATGGGCAGTGGCAGCACAATTGTCAGGGCTGTTCCGCCTCAGCACCTCAGTGGTTGATGAGAGGAGGGATAGCTATGTGGGGAGCAGCATGCTGCATCTTTCACAGCCTTACTGCTGCTGCGTGGTGTGATTGTTTTTGTTTTGTTTTATTTTATTTTATTTTATTTTATTTTATTTTATTTTATTTTATTTTATTTTATTT